CCTGCTTCCTGCAAACATCTACATAAAAACAGTATGAAAAACATGAATGAGCACATATACTGTGAGTACTAATAAAATACCACTACCTTGAGCCTTGCATTTGACTCTTTCCTCCTTTTAGCATCGAAGAGTTCATTCTGATATTCCTGTGCAAGTTCCTCATCCACATTTAGCAACATTGCATTTGGGTTCCTCAGAGTTACAATGGTTTGTTCTGCTATTCCCTTCTCGATAGCTTCATTAATTGCTATTACAGCAGCGTGCACTAAAATTAAAAGCAGAATCCAATATTTCGGGAAGTAATAAAAACACTTAATTCAAGTCCTTTCAATTCCTCTCCTAAGAGAGTAACATACTATTGAGATCAGATACACATGTTCCTTAATTAGATCTGAGGAAATTGTCAAGCAACTAGAAATCATTTAGCTGCTATTGCAAGACAACAGAATAATCCTATTAAGTATAAAAGGAAGAAAAAGACCCCAAACTACAGTGTCTATGCATATATGATCATGTGAGCAACTTAGGAGCAACTTGTCAAATTCATGCTCCTTTGTACAGCTGTCCCATGCACATTCTCTGTTCCTTTAATTTAAACCTCCGGGACTGCAATCCACCTCACTCAAGGCACCTTCAAAGAATCAAGTTGAAAACCAACTTGGAAACCTTCCAAAACCTACCCTTCATATCCCTTTATTTCTATCACTGTTCCTCAAGTTTGAGGTGAATGTTAAACATGCATGTAGCAATTTATATAGCTCCCCTCCATGTGTCCCATTTAGAGGACAACAAAAACATTCAATGTTTGGTCAGTGTGTCACTGTGTTCCATTTTCCCCCACTTCTCCCATCTAGAACACCCTTGGGCCCTAAGGAGAAGCCCAAGATGAGTCTTGAGGAAAGGAACTCCAGAACTACAGCTTGGCTGAGTTTAACAAGCAGCTGCTGACAAAAAAAACTGAGATGTCACTCACTCACTATGTGAACGCTAGCTTTCCTATCAATATTATTTTGCAATTTGCCTTCTAGGTGCATCACCTAGCATGATTTTGCTAAACCAGAATAGTCAGTAATTGTTCTTTTCTTTTGACTTAATTTAATTGAGGGTATATACATTAGAGCTTTCAGTTCCTTTCAGCATGTAAAAAAATTTTTAAATTCTCATCAATGATTAGGAAACTTGAGCTTAACGAGGTCCAGGAACACACAAGTTTGGTGAAGCAGAACACAAGAGCAGACCTTTGGAAGTTGAACATAGGCAAATCAAGCTGTGTGTTCTCAGAGGGCAATTACTGGAACAGTCTGCCTAGTTATCAGTGTTTTCCATTCCTTGGCATTAAACTCATGACTGGAAGTTGTTCTAAAATTGTTTCTTTTAATTCAATTAAGAACAGCAGCAACTTCAATTGGTTAAGAAGCTATTGCCCCTGTGTCCTCGTGCACTAGCACACATTACATACAGTATCTATGCTGTTCCCATAGGGCTCAGGGCCTAGCTACACCCTGTGAAGCACTTTCGACATTTCATTTGTAACTTGAAAATTTTCAGTTATATTCATGATGCTGTCTTCATTAGTCCATCGTATCCTGGACTATGAAAGCACAGCAAAAGCTCAGTTTGTCATGCCAAAGGCACACCAGCTACCAGGACATAAAGCACAGGCAAAAAGCTGTAAGAAAAGTCTTAGTTGCTGGTAGCACCTACTATGTGTCAATGCAGAGACATAAGAGAAAATATGCTTTTCACTCATAAATGCAGACTGACAAATTGCAGAAGGTCTGATAATGATGATGTGGCAGTCAATAAACATTTAATACTAAGAAATACAAGAAAGTGAATTAGAATACATAGAACGTAATTTAGAGTTTTGCCAGTGTATTCGGTAGAAAACAGCAGAACCCACTTACATGCAGCTTCATCCACCGATAATTCACTGGCCAGAATCCCGCCGATTTTGCTAAAAGATGGCATCTGTATACCATACTTCTCTAGCTCCTTGCGCATGTTGCTGATTTCTTCTTCTGTTTACATATGTTAAAAAAGAATTAACAGAATCAAATCTCAAATTTCTCTATGAATCACCATATCTACAAAAAGACACGCAATTTCTTATAAGAATCTGTGGCTAATGGATGAGCAGTTTCTCCTTTCCATTTTGAAGGAATCTAAGATATGACAAATATTTCACGAATTCACTCCCTTTCATTCTTCAAAGACTGACATTCATTAAAAACAGCAGCCTCCCACTTACTTAATTAGGATATGTTCAGGACAACCTTGGAGGATGAGAAAACATAATGGAAAATATGTAGTGTTGGCAAATTTACTGGGTGAAGAAAATTACCTGATGCATTATTAGATAAGCAGTTTATTACCTGTGAAGTCCACTTTTCCCAGTAGGTCCTGAATCTGTGGTGCTAATCCTAATTTGAATAAATACAAACTGCAAAATAAAAAAGATGGAATAAGAAAATCTGCATGTTTGCCAAGGTGTTTGCTTTCTGCAGCAGTGAAACAAGTATTTGTATTAGTGTTACTGCCACAAATTCATTCTTTAATTCTTGATTTTTCAGATATGGAATAAAATACAGTATAAATAAAATTGTAGATCTTACAGGAAGTAGCTTTTTTCCCCTACCTGAAAATGTTTCAAACAACATCTTTAAGAGAGACTACTAAAGTATCTCAGATCACAGGTGACATGTAGACAAGTACAAAACCTTAATGGAAGACAACTAAACAAAAGAAAACAGTAGTAAGACACGAAATAACTTCAGTACAGCTTAAAGCTTTGGACTCATGTACAGTTTTGACTTAAGTTAGACCTTGAAATTAATATCTGAGGAAAGATGCACACAAATCATTGACATCCGTGCTACTAAGCGTAGATGGCAAGGACCTGTATGTCCATGCAAGCTCCCCTCATACACTTAAACCACTACTTATTCTACTTTCTGAAAATAAAGCAATCTTAATGTAAAAGTGCTTTCCAGGAACTATATATTACTAATATTTTTGTTTCAGCATAGCATGAAAGCCTATACTAATTATTCCTGAAGCTCTGTAGTGGTATCTGAAACACAGATACCACAAGGGAGCCCTGATTTTGCCACTGAGCATTGCACGGGGATGCAGAGGGTTTTACACCCTGTGCGCCTTTGCTCGCATAAGCTCGCGAGCCACAAGGTGGTGCTGAAAATTTGCTGCGTGTCTCGCATAGAGCGCACGGACACTTGTAGTCCACCCTAAGGTATAATTTCACGTGAAGAACAGCAGGCGTAACGCTTTCACAGATGTAAGCGGGGCCTCAGAGCCTGCATTAGCATCACCAGCAGAGGGACTGGAACAGAGAAAGCAGGCTATGAGGCACCAGGAGCAGAGGAGAAACAGAAAGGGGAAGCAGCACTTCCTGGGTACAACTCCCTTCGTGCTGCCCCCATAAACACACTTCACTGTTGACCAGTCAAAAGTACCTGGGTCCTGTTGTTCGGCTTTGCTCATGCATAGCTCACCACTAATGTCAATATCTACTTCTGTTATATTGTTATTAACAGCACATATGCTTATTATTGCATCCTTCCTGAGGAAAACTATGTTCTGACACTATCCAGTTTCAGAGAGATGGTTTGTCAAGAGCGTAGTGCTCCAATTATGGAGATTTGCAAGGTAAGTATTTAAGGAAAAATTCTAAGTACTGCTATTTAATAAAAGCAATCACTGTTAGCTTTTTCATCAAATAAAGCTAAGAACTACTTTATTTGCCCAAGTCCTAATCCAAATCATCTTTAACAAGGAAAATGGTGCAAGTAGTGAGAACTAGACCTTTGTCTTGTCAGTCTTGTCTTAACTATTGATGTTTCAACAAGGAAAAGCATAGGCGTAATTATTTAACAGGAATCTAGAATTAAGACACTCCTTTCTGCACAGAGCTGTCTGACAGTGCAAGTCGTTTCACATCTTGTGTGCAACAAGTGCTCTCACATTCAGAGCATTCCGATTAAAAACACATGTAAACCATTTTGCTTAAAGTCTCTCTGTCTCAGGCCTTCAATCTGCTCTAAGATCAGCAGAGCCTCAGAGATGCAAGGCATTCCCTATGACATGTTAACATTGCAGATGTCAGAGATGGTGCATAGGTGGGACCTTTTCCTCCTATTATCTAGCATTAAGGGCATTTTACACTTAGAGGGTCAATTACATTATTTTAGTAACTTTAAGTGTTTAAGTTAATTATGCAGGCTATCCGTGCTTCCATTTGAATTGATTTTGAAAAGGCTCAACTAGAAATGGCTTTGTGATTTCTAAGAACAAGAAGATAATATATCCTGTGCTTGAAAAGATTCCTGTAGTTTTGTTGGAAAGCCTAAGGATCCTGATGTTTGAACAACAACTTGGTAACAGCTAAGAAAGAATGGGAAGTAGGTCAACCTTTCACCTCTCAGAAGTCCCAAGCTATAAGCCTTTGAAATTTGAGCATGCGCTCCCAAGATGCATCAAAAATTTGTATTTAAACCCTGCAGTGATTCTTCATATAGCAATCATGTTCACATGCTACAGATGCAATGGGGAAAAGTTGGCTTGCACTTGCTCTTTCTGGATGCTCTGGTGCCAGACACTGGAAACAGCAGGGACATAGGCTTTTCTAAAACCAGCGGTTACTGTGCTAATTCCCAGGGAGCCAGGAGAGGATGCCCTGACAAACACTGAGGACAAAAGAGGGCAAAAAGAGTGATGTGCAGCACAGGACCAGGGAAACACCAGCCAACAGCTCAGTGGTTCCAGCAGTGGCAGTAATGGGAACAGGGCTGAGGTCCTGCAGAGCCATGTTCCTCCAGTGCTGCACAATGGCAAGCGTTGCTGGACAAGACAGCGTCCCATGCCCCTAACTGCTGTTTCCAAGGCTGAGAACCTGACTGCACCCGACCTGCTTTTTATGCAGTTTGTTTGCAATTCAGTGCAGATACCAGAGTCTGAATTGAAAACCAATTGCAACATGTATTTTAGGAAAAGGCATGAAGATAAAAGAAGTTTGACAACTGCCACATATGCTACATGTGATGCATCCTATGCTGTCATGGAAAAGTCTCATAAGCAATATCACCAGTGGTTCCCCCTTCCTGGGACTTGAAGTATTTGATGTCTTCTATATAAAGACTATTTCTAAAATTGTAATTCAGAAGTACAGTCAGTTACAGCTCTGTGCTGGTATATGTCGAGGAAAAAAATGTAAATAAGATAAAGTGAAAGCCAAGATGACACACTAGCCAGCTCTGAGTATCATAAATCCTAAAACAGATCAAGCCACAAGAACTCCTACCTAACAGCCAATCCATTGCAAAATCTAGTTGAAGCATAAAAAGTTGTATTGGCGTTACAATCAGAGAGTTCTCTAAGAGGTACCTGGCAGATGGCTTACTTGTATTTCACATAACATTCAATCCCACAACAGGCCAAGTCTTCCACACAGGAGGAAGCAAACATTTGAAAATCCCATTGTGTTCCTGCCCTGCAAAACATCTGAGCGGAGCCGGTGACCTCAGCGCAGGGGAACGCAGCTCCCCGCTCCAGCCGAGCTGTTTAGCATTAGGAGCCCCATGTGTCCACTCCAGGAAATCACTCCACGCTTACACAACACACTGCTGACAGAAGCGACTGCACTACAGTTTTAGGCAATAGCCACCTTCAGACGATCCTGGTGATACTGTACAGTCAATATCACCAGGTGTAACAATTTCCAGAGATAACACTTGTCACAGCTGAAACACAAGAACTGGCAGCTCCGAATGCTCAGCATTTTAAAGAAATATGCTGAACTTTGGTATTATGCCTTGTTTATTGGCACACATACTGCACTTCACAGGTGGTTGTATGCAGGTCTGTATGTGGATCATCTCAAAGATCAGACCATAAAAACGTTTGTTACAGCAGATATTGAGTAGTTTCTGACCTATAGCTCTGGGGTAGTTGACATGCCTTTAAATGACATTAGGAACACAGAAGAGCTTGTGGCATAAGTTAGCTCTATCTCTGCAAGCCCAATATGTAAGCAAGTTATGAAAGAAAGATCTCCTTGGGCAGGAAATGAGCTAGGAGAGCCACAGAAGGGAGGAGCTGTCTGCCAACACCACCACCTCACACTAGGGACATGATGAGGCAGATGTTCTGGACTTTGAGAGTTAAACATCACAGGGAAAGGCTTAAGGCAAGATGAAAAGTCTTTAGCTGTACTCCACTGATGTAACCAACACCTTCCTGACTCTGCATTACATCAAAGAGAAAGTTGCTGAGAACTTAAACCTTGGAAAATGTTATATTTCAGATCAATGACCTCAGAACGTATTAATTATTTGCACCTCTTCTGGGATAGGACTTCAGCATCACTTTCAGTCCCTGATGGGCACTTCTGCACCATGATCATACTAGTGTTTTGCAAAGGTTTTCCTCAACTTGTTTATTTTGTTTTACTATGTACTTCAAAGAGATGCATGCATGTTTGCTGAGAAAGGAACTTCGTATATATACATACTGAGAAAAAAATCTGCATTAAATCATTTCTATTTCAGAAATAATTTGCCCAATAGTGCTGACTAAGTTCAGCTTACACCTCCAAGTTTAAATTAAGAAGCTTATAAATTGTGACATATTCTGACATAGTGGTTGCCCTAAAGATATTCTAGACTTACAATCCTAGATTTCCTGGTTACTTTAATAATCTTTCTCATTGCCAGTTACCTTAGAGCATGAATGCAATATATCATTCTAGGTATGTTTTTCCTATCGTAGACATCCGTTGTCTCTGGATAAAAAATCTGAAAAACAAAGAACAGACACTTAAAGGAGAACAGAAATTACTGAACAGAAAAGTACCTAAAATGGGCTCTTTAGAATGGTATCTTTGAATTATAAAAGCTTAACTTATTTCTATACAGCTACAAATCAAGTCTCTTCTGAGGCCCTACTTATAAGTTACTTCACTTTCATAAAGAACATTTCAATGAAGTGCAAAAGTTGCTTAATAGAATGAAGATATGAAATATGGGCAGATATTTCAGCTTTTTTTTAAACCTTGCTGCAAGATCTCAGCAAGTAGAATTTGTCCTCTAGACACCTCAAATCTCAGATATGGTAACAATTTGAGAAGCTTCATTGTGAACCTTCACCATAAAGTATACCTTAAAAATGTTAAATTCTGATTAGCACCCTCAACTCTAAACACTTCTATGATTTACAGAGAAAGATATTCAGATAGAGAAATGCAAAATAATTCAGCGAAAAAGTCACATCGTAAGTTCCAGTTCTGCCACTAATTTGTTCCTGGCCTTGGTCCCAGCTGGAGGTTCCGGTCACTAAGCACTTCCTCTACACAAACAGAGCAGATGGCTTCGTGGGCCGTGGGATCTGGCGACGCCATGCTCCCATCGCACAGGCCTGATGCTCGGAGCCGCCCAGTCCCACATGGAGCAGAAAAGGCAAGACAGCAAGTTGGCAGCACAGTGGCCTCTTCACTACTTGGTCACATCTGCTTCGGCACACTGAGACCTTCGGCCATGACCCTCCTCAGCAACAGGGGCAAAACTTTTCAGAGAAGGAATGGCAGGGGGCCAATGGGCAGCAAACTAAAGCAGCTAGACAGTAAGGCCAACATCACCACATCTAGCAGAGGCAGCGCCCCCTGCACTTCCCTCTCTACAGCACTTCTGGTGGTAGCTGCAGGTTCCTCTTCCTGGCCATGGGGCAGCCCTGTGGCCAGGTGGCCCACCGGGAGACAAGCGCTTCCCCCAGGCTACACAAGGGTGACAAAGGCTCAGAACAACAAAGTGGATGCTTCTACACAGCCCTTCTGAAAATGATTTTCATTCCCCCTCCCACTCCTTCCCCCACAAAAAACAAACTCACTGGTGCCCAGAAACAGCAGCAGAAGGGAAACATAAGTGGAGACCAGCAAGAAGGAAGATAAACATGAAAAGTGACCCTGGAAAGCAGCAGGAACAGGACCAGCACAGCCATGCAGGCACACGGGAGGGTACAAGGACAGTCTAGAAACAGGGCAGAGGCAGACAAAAATAGGACACACATGAAGAGGAAAAGGCAGCAAGAACATGACAAGAGGTAGTAACAACGTAAACAAGTACAATCAAGTTTTCCATTTTAAACTGTGCTCCACTTGGGCCCCTGCTGAGAGGCTGTAAGATTTAGTTAAAACTTTGCCAGTTTTCCCATTTGATTTCCCAAGACAGAAGTAGCCTGAGCACCTCCTTCCACAGCTCATCTTCTGCAGCATCCTCCACTCCGGCACAGAGCGCTGTACCACATAGCTGACATCATTCCCACTGTCAGCATTACCTTCGTTTCCTGCACAAGCCTTCCCAGTAGAATTGCTCTAAGTAACTACTTATATTTGAGCAAAAAAAAGGAAATCTGAGCCTATGCCTTGAGTCATTCTATTTTCTACAATTTAGATGCTTACCTTAGGTAGACCAATGGACTCCATTGCTCTTAACCATTGCACAGTATTATCAGTGTGTCGAAAATGAAGGCCTGATCTCTGTTGGAAGCACAGAAGGAACATAATAATGCAAAGTAAATTCACTTACTGACCCCCCAAGCTGCATCCCACTCATACTCAAAAGAAGAGTTCAGGGAATTTTCCATCACTTAAACTGGAGACCCAACCTCACCACTATAATCCTGCTATGAAAAGGCGTAACAGCCCCATGTTGTCACATTTTCCTAAATCACTTAAGGCAGATTTATATACTTGTAGATTCCCTGTGACTTAAGGGATAACTTTCTCCCTTCATCAGTCTTTAAGAGTAAAGGTTGTCTGTCAAACACCAGGGACCAAAATAGGGAAGTGGTAATATCCATCAGTGCCACCATTAAAGTGCACAGATAACAAGCTCTTAGCCACAAGACAAGACTGAACTTCTGGAGAGAATTTTAATTTGCTGTACTCATGGTGCAGAAAAACTTGCTCTTCTCTACCTGTGTTTTACAGTCCAAAGCTGCCAGTCCCAGTCTTTGTTTAGGCATTGATTTAATGTTCTAAGAGTAACAAACAGGCAACAACCATGCAAATCTATGGAAGTTTCACAAGAAGCCATAAACAAATTGCACTAAGCAGAGCTAAGAGATGAGAAGCTCTAGCTACACATACCTCTAGTCCAAACAAGAGAACAGAGCATCCCTCCCCCACTTACTTACCAGATGCTCAATACAGGAGTCAGTACCTATTCTCCCCAACAGCCTATAAAGGCATAAGTCAGAGCAAAGCAGAAAAGTGCTTTTGTTTTAAGAGCCAGAAGGGAGGGGAAAAAAGTCTCAACACCAGGTTTGGAGATTTTCGAAGGAAATATTTAAACATAAGCACAATTCTTACCTTACAGGAAGGCCCCATTAACCATATGAATACTAGACAAGCTTTGTTTCTAATCTCTCAAATAACAACCACTAATTACTATCTAACAGCTAAAAATGTAAACGCTTATTTCTCAAATTTCCTTTCTTTAAAGGTTGAAATCATGCACCATACATACATATGTATGCATATACTAATCAAGGAACATGAAGTTAATGAAAAACTTGTTCAACTTGGAGCAAGCTAAATGCAATCAGCATTTTTTTTCTTCAGTGATAAATTGGACAGCAGAAATAAACATGTTGTTCTAATGAAGTGGATGTCCTCCAGTACAAGATGAGGGAAGTTAAGAACAGTTACCAAATTTAATTACTGAAGTGCCTCTGGCTTCAACTCCTAGCGTTCAACTCCTAGGAATAATTGTAAATATTCTCCCTGGAGCCAGAAGTACAGTTTGTTCAGCTTTCAAAACATTAACTGGAATTAATGGTTTTCCTAAGTACGAAGTATTTCTAGCTTATCATACTGGCTCCATAGTGCTACACACCTTCCCTCTCATTATGACAGGCATACAGAAAAAGGTTAAGCAAAAACGCATGTGTATCTTTAAGAGGTAAGACAGAAACATTAAAACATTTTGCCTAGCTGGTGAGAAAACTGAATAGGTTTATTATTACCTTATAACGTGTCTGCTCCACATCGTAGATCTTTTTGTCTGACACCACATTAGGGGCAAAGAATTTTGCTAGCTTGGCAAGGTAGACACCATTTCTTAACCCTTCTTCCAGCTCGGTAGTAGGGGGCAGTTCTTCATCCAAGCAGACCTCCATCCATCTACAAATACATTGTTTGACAAACACTGTTATTTAGAATTCTAACCATGTTAGAACCAGCATCCTTCCCCACACTCATCATACATTTTAAAAGAGTTGCCACAAAAATAATCACAATTAGTAACAAAAGGGTACAAGTTAAGAAAAAAGTCTCTTAATAGCATGGCAGGCCAAAATAATTGAAGAATCACGTATGTACTTGATGTTAGTGACTGATAACACACACATGAAGCTCTTTGATGTATACGTGAAATAAGTTAGACACTTTGGGAGGAACCTTCACAATTGTTGCTGGAAAAGTCTCAGTTGCTTTGAGCGGTATTAGACTTTGTAAAGAGACAGTAATTTAAGCTGAAATGAGAAAGAACATGGAGAACCATTACAGATATCTAGAATGCAAACAAAATTATCAGGCCTAAACCCCAGAGCACCAGTACACACAGTGGCCAGAAGTCACGGTCACAGTGAGATTTGCAATCCACAGCACGAATGCAGGCCATCCAACATAGCCCTGAAATGCATAATGTATCTAATAGTGACTTGGTCAAAGCATATTCCCTTTGCCTGGCAGTGGTGGTAACCATCACTGTTTGACAAGAAGCTAAATCCTTCAGGAAGGTGATGAGCTAGCTCCATTTGAGGTTTTGTTTGCCTTTTGCAATTCAGTGATATTTAAGGTATTAGAAAGCACTAATATATAATTACAAGAATAAAGTAAGAAAACATTGTTTTGTACTATCCAGAAAGGACATTAATACTGAGCAGCCAAAAGAAACTGCTACTAAAAGAGTCCTGAAAGATCAGCATCCTCACAACAGACGTTGGTGGGCTTTAAAAAAAAGCCCTGTGATAACGTTCACACAAGGGCTATAAATCTATTTAGTGCCTTCCAAATACTCTTTTGCACTTAGGCAATTTCTGTTGTTAAAAGGCTATTAATATCATTACAACAGAACAAGAACAAAAGCTGAAGATGTTCACTTGCTTTAGTGTCATTAAGGCAGAGCAGCTCTGCCTGCCATCACAGCCCTGGGATCACCTCTGGAGGGGCAAGCTGTGAAGTACTGGAACTGGGGTTGAAAGTGAGCCAATTTTTCCCCCCTCTACAAGGGGAAAAAGCTTGCTACATCATTTTGCTTCATGTTAGAGCTCAAGACAAATGACCTATTCCATTACACTTTTGGATTTGTTACAGAACATATGAAAGCTGTTTCACTGAAGCACAGACTACCCAAACAGCTCTTCAGGAAACCAGCAGCCATAAATCTTGGACAATATCACACAAAGCTGCTTGGAAATGAGTGTCATTAGGAGAACTGTAGTTTGCAACATAAAAGCTGTTTCAGTGAAAAGAATGGTTTCAGCAACACGTTTCTCTCTCATGCCCAACACTGCATATTTATGCTTTATGGATCCATGCCAAGGACACTAAAAGTCATCTTTATTAATGGCACCTTATAGACTGAATAAATATACAAATTAAAACAAAACAGCATAGCATTTGTCTTCTCTAAAATGTGGGGTAAGGAAAAAAGTTTGCTGTAGTTCATAGCAAATATGGGCTTTGCCTGAGCCAACTACTTATTTTTATGGTACTTATTTTCTAAAAATGTGGTTTCTGGAAGGGCTATGCAGAAAGAGCTTGCTGAATAATGAATGAGAAGTGTTCACCAAGAGCTTGGTTTGACCTTGTTGTCAGCGGGGCCATCCCAGAGAGACGAGCCATATGCCTCCTCCGCAGCGGTCAGCACATTGCACTAGATCCTTCACACTCCTCAATCTCAGTTTCCTTGTTAAGGCATTTTTGACATCTTTGGTCCAGGGAGTCAAAAATGATGACATATGAACTTTCTTTAAAGTTAAGCACACACACAGAAAGCTTTTCTCCCTTTTGGCACAACAATTTGCTATTTAAAAGCAACTTCTCCCTGTCTTAGCTCTTGGTCCCAGACTGGCTGCTGCAAGCCTCCCCCTGAAACCCAAGCCTTGCTGTCTGCTTTCCACCACAAGCAACCCTTCCTTGTGCCTCCCTTGCAGGACAACTGCAGGTCACTGGCAAAGGAACTTGACCGTGTAAGCGAAGATCCAGGTATTACAAGTAGCAGCCTTACTGCTCAACACCCCTTGACAAGCCTTACTAAGCACTGGGGTGGAAGGTTGCTGAGAACCAAGGCAGAAGACGAAGAGTCTGTCACCTCCATGGGCAGAAAATCAGCCTTTGCAGCAGCTTTCAGATACTGATTATATAACCCTCCCTTTCCCCCAAATTCCTATTCCTGTGGCACAAATCACACGCTATTTATCACCTGCCACTATTGAGAGATAGGGATTATGAATATCCACAGATGATATTCCTAAGGAAAACAAAGGACAAAAATCCTCACAGGCCTGCAATGAGCCAGTTACCTTACAGCTTTCGAGAAACAAGCTTTGTAACAAAGTTAGTTAACCAATTCTTTATTAAGTGTTTTGGCAACTTGATGCCATTATCCACAGCAAGTGCTGCAATGAGCAGATATTTTGTTCCATTTTGCCCATTTTTCAGAGAGGAAAAGCCTCAAAATTAACCTGAAACTCTACAAATATGGATACACCTAGAAGTTTTAATTATACATACAGCTGCTCAGCTCCATTCCTTTCTCTCCAGTATCTTTTGAGATATCTGCAGCACTTTACAGTTACTTCAATATAGTAGTTTTGACCAATTTGCAGTGATTCAGTGAAAAGGGATTTGTGGTTTTAGACATTAAAAAACATCACTTTTAAGGTTGCAAGGTTCTGCCTTTTAAGAGGTAATTCAGTAATCTGATGAAAGTGATTATGTGATACGATGCTGACAGCAGCAGACTGGACTGAGGAAAATCTAGAAGTCCCTTCTACTTTTTTTTCCTCTAAATGAAGCAGAAGATATCCAGCCAGAAGTAGGGATTTATAGGTATCCTTAGAGCACTTTATTTTAGTTTAGAGGGAAAAGCAGCGTTGTCTTTGGCTTGCCATTATTCTTCCCAAGCGCACAGTCCTGCAGCCTCAGCACTAGATTTTGATGACTGTTGCATGAATTACAAACTAGTTAATGCCATGGCTACGCAAGACTTATAACTCAGCCCTGGGCAGGATGTTTTTCTTCAGTATGAAACTTGTGCAGTAAGACTATCATAACTATCAAATGCACACAGACATATCTATCATTCCTTTTCTTCTGGCAATGCAATCTTTAACTAATGCTATGGTTTTTAAACAATCTTAATGTGCTGACAGGTGTATGCCATAAAAAGTAGCAGTAGCAGTGAACAGGATCTTTATCTTGGTCACTATTTTGACTACAACAGCCAAACCCAAACTAATCTGCATCTCTTCTCTTGAAACTCATGGCACCAGACAAAATATTGCCATTATATTTTCTGTTTTGAAGAAAGCAAGTAGAATAAAGGAAAAATGAGTTTACAAATGACACCCTCAGGCCTATACGTTAGAACACGGGCTGAAATGAAAAAAGGCAGTGTTTGCCCCAGAGCTTACGTACTTGCTCTGGTCCAGGGCAGCACAGTCCACATGCTTCATGGTAAAAGCGGGGAAAGGAAGTCTCTGGAGGCCAACAAACACTCAACAGCCCTGAAAGGCCTGGGCAGCACCAATAAGAGCTTGCCACCATTAAAACAACTCCTAGGCAAATTTTCATCTTGGCACTGGGGTTTGAACAAGTGTGAACAGATGTCTTCCTGAAAAGAGATGCTTAGAACCATAAATACACCAGAAAGCAAAGCTAACTGGCTTTTGTTTTCAGCATGCTGCAGCACTTGCCAGCACAAATACAGTGACTGTGCCTTAAAACAGAACAAGACCAAATAAGTAGAAATATATGTACAAAACTTCAATATCAAGTATTGCAGAACCAGACAGAAGTACATACAGAGGTAGTTTCCATTTGCACTGCTCAGCTCTGTTTTTACTCTTGGCAAGTGGCGGCAGACAGAAGTTCAGCAGCGAGTTTCTGGCAAGATAACAATGATGACTTCTGTGCCAGAGCTGAGCAGTAAACAGCATCCTGCTCACCAGGAGATTCCAGCTCCCAGATTTGATCACACAGAACAGCGGCAGCATAATGAGATCAGCCCTGCACTTTAAAGGCAGAGGCAAACAATCTCAATCAAGACAAGGGTCAAGGGAACTGGAAGCACCAATGCTGTGCCATGAATTCAACCAGCTCTGAAGCTGTCATTGACTGTCTCTGTGGTCAGCAAAACACTCTGCTGGCTAAAGGACCAGAAACCTTTCAGCTGACATTCAAAGATGCACAACATTGCATACCATCCAAAGCCCATTACATTTGGGATATTGTGGTAGAATTTAGATGTGCACTGTCCTGCCCTTTCCAATTTGTGCTGCAAGACAGTTCCAAAGACATTAGCTTTGTGTCTCCTGGGAAGCAGACCTCTGGAGAAGCAAAGGCAAGACTCTAGAGCCAAAGGCAAGATTAGAGCCAAAACTCAAAGCACAGGATAGTGCTATGAAAAAGGCATATGTAAAGACAATGTAAAGATAATTTACTACCCAGTTATGACTTCCCTGGCTCTCAACAACAGCCTTTCAGCCCTGTTAATGATACCAGCACGTGTATGCTGTGGGGAAGTGAAACAGACTTCTGACCTAGAGAATAATCTATAGAGATCTCATTTCCAGCAGAGGGTAAAAAGGCCTTTTAGTAGAAAACATAAAAAAGACAGTAAGAGTCTCAAAGCAAAATGTTGGATTCTATCTGTAAATACCTATGAGACTGAGACATTTTTTAATCGAAGTTTTTTTTGAAGATATTTAAAATAACTGCACAATAGTTTAAAGCACAAGAACAGGCCGTTTCAAGTTCCAGCTAGAAGCATCTCTAGTTCTGAAATTATAGATTTGCTAGGAAATCCCAGCTCTTAACTCTTCACTTGATTTTGTTTAATGAAATATGGAATGTTTTTTCACCCCCCAAAGTTTTAAAAACATGAGAGCAGAATG